ACAGATGGGAGAGCTTCTATAAATGAGCCATTGCTCTTGGGCAGTGAAGATGGCCCATATGTGTCACCAGAGGGGGAATTGGAGCTCTTTGTAGGAACGTGGTGATGGCAAGAGCTGACTTAAATTCCCTGGGCTTCTTTTCTACCCATTCAAGACTCTCCAGAGTTGCTGCCTGCCTTTTTTTCCATGCGTTTGTCAGGATGAGAAACATTTTTAGTTATTATTGTTTTCCTATGTGGCAACTAATATCTTTGGGGCAAAGCTCCTAGAGCTAAGTTTTCCTCATAAACTCATTCTTCAAAGTAATTTCTCTTATCGAATACCTCCAACCTCTGCTTTCAACACACATATATGCATGCATATTCTTCTGCTTTATCCTGTTTTATAAAATACAACCATTGGCCCCACTCTGAGTGACCATTTCAAATTCAAACACATTTTTTTAGAGGGATTTTTTGAAACTTAAAAAAAACATAAAGCCGTACTCTGGTTAGAAGCAGGAAGGTGGAGTGTTCTTTACAGCTCTAGTTAGCAGCTGGCTTTGGCCAGTTCTTATGTGTAAATAGCAATTTTCCAAACTGGAATGGGTGCTGGGGTTTTCTTTGTAGAGCCAAGAGGTGTGGAGAGCAGTGATGTTTCGTTAAATTATGGGTCTAGATGCAAAATGTGCAGCAATGATTTGTGAGAGCCTGAACACTCTCCACCCCCTGATGCACACTACACACACACACACACACACACACACACACACACACACACACACACACCACTTCCCAGAGGGCCGCCCTAGACCATAAAAGTAAGGGCATCTGTTGGGGGAGGTGGCTGTCCCCAAGTGGTTGCTGAGCTGTTGGTGGGTATCTGGTGTCTCAAAGTGTGGAAAGCATTCACATAAAAAGTGTTTTCTACAATCCCTCCCACCAAAAACTCCATGCAAAGGACATTTAAGATGACTTTCCTAATGGATTTTGGAGTGAGCCCTCTCTGGAACAGATGGATGGCTCTTTCCGTTTGGGTGCACTGTGGGGACCGCCTGGGGCTGCCTGAGCATTTTGGTGTGCAGTGACCAGCTTCCCTTGCTTTGTGTGGTTCAGTACTGTATTGGTGTGAGGGCTGTGGGTTAGGAAACAGTTACTCAAAGGGTCTAGGGCAGGAAGAAAGCACAGGTGGCTCTCTCCACTGTGGGTAGAGAGGACTTTTTATAATGCAAAGGACTCTGGAGTCAGGGGGACCAGTAGTAATTTGTCCTGTTCCCTGTTTCTGAGGTCAGAAGAGGCTTTAAGTTCTGGAGGAGCTGAGGGGTTCCTGGGGCAAGTCGAGCCAAGACTGAAGGATTGGGACCAGAGAGTTACCCCTGACACACACACACGTGCACATGCGAGCAGACAACGTGGACACAGAAACTTTGATAGTATCGATGGGACTCTGAGGACCTCCAGTTTAGACCCACTGGGAGCCTGGACAGGACATCGAGCCCCACCCCTGTCCTGCCCTTCTTGGTAGCCCTGGAGGTAGAAGGGAAACCGAGTGGAGAGTGTGTGATTCTAGAGTCCTCCGCCTGCTTTCTGTGTCTCCACAGAATGCAAATCATCAAGCACTGCATAGTCCATTTAGCAGTGATGCCATCAGGATTCCCAAAGTAAATCACTCCCGTTTCCTCCAGTGTGCCCCTGGCAAGAGAGGTCACAGTGCACAGCCCTGTTGCCCACCCCCTCACAAAGCCAAGACATTGGTGAGCAGCTAACCGAGTGTTGCACATCTTCCCACTGGCCTTTTCACGTCTGGAAGGTTTTGATTAAACCAGTTTCCCTTAGTGTTTGCTGAAGAGTGGGATCCATCACTGTATCTGAGCTGGTTCCTGGAGAGGATGTTTTAGTAACTTGGACATTTTGGCGCGGTGTTTGGGGCCTGGGATTTCTCATCCTTCTAAAAAAAGTATTTTATAGACTTTTTTGGGACTGTGTGGTTTATACCTGGATTTCTGCCCCAGCATTTAAGGCTCTGGCATGATAAGTTTATGGCTGTTGAGAGACTGTAGAGAGTGTAAGAGGGGGCCTTTTCATTTAACCAGTTACTGGGGAATGAACATTCTGTTGACTTCTGTTATTTGGAATGAAGACATGTTACTCATTTAATTATCTGGGTCCATGTGAACATTTTGGATTATAAATAGGGTCTGCTCTATACCCACCCTGGCTCTAAACAATGTATAAATGGCACCATAGGGTTCATTTTATAGAATGCTCCTCTAGAGTTTCTTTAAGTTGAGAACTCCACTAGTGCATGCTTGTGGATCACAGTAGTGTTTCTTTATAGATATTTAATTACCTGGCTGATAGGGAAAAAACAGGAATGAAAAATCTGAAATGAAACTATTGGGAGTCTTTGCCCATCTGAAATCATGTAGAGATTCAGGAAAGTGGTTTTGAAATTACAGTGGAAGAAAATGGGGCACCCAGGGTTGATTTATCAAAGATTTTTCTGTAAAGTCTCTTTCTGCCGTACATTTATTCTGAGCTTGAAGGATGAATTTAGTAATTGACTTTGGATTCAGTTACAGTGACCACTTATCTAGCATCTGCCTGATGTCCTGCTAGGCACTTTGGCATATGTTATTTAATTTAGTCCTAATAGGAACCTTGCGTGGTAGGCTAATTATTATATCTCCATTTTATAGTGGATTAAATTCTACATTGTATTGGAATGTAGGCTCCAACACCTAGCCCTCAATGTATCTCTTGAATGAACACATTGGGAAAGTTAGGGTAGTCCAATTTGGTGGTCAGTGAGTGAGTGTAGGGACAGATTGAAATCTGGAGAGGTAGGTCACCTTCATGGGTAGGTACCTGTTCTGCCAGGGTAGACCTACCGAATGGCTGAGAAGGGAGATGGACAATATGGAGCAGAATAAGATGCCCACTGGTTAACGAGAGGTTCTTGGGAGTTGGCACTGCAGACGCTGGTGGGACTGTCACAGAATGTTTTCATGTACACGATCTCCTCTGTCTCTCCTGTTCATCTGAAAAGAGATGAAAAGCAGTAAATCACAGCTTTAAACACATGTGGAACCAATGCATGGCTCTCAGAGCCCACAGGAAGTGTGCAGACTTGCTAGGACAATGTCCTCTTAAAATAGTGTACCAGGTTGATTACAAGGACATTCCAGATGGAGCTCTGTCAGTGGGCTGTGGTGGCACATGTCCCTTCCAGAAGCCACTAAGCCAAAACCTGAGCTCTTTGCAGTCTCGGAGCCTCCTATTTGTGGCAACCAGGCTTCCCGATTGATGGGAGTTCAGGCTTAGGTGGGACTGGCGCTCTGGTCCGGGACTTCACAGTGCAAAGCACAGGATCAGACCTCAGGGGAGCGCTCCTCGGCACAGCCTGCCTGTCACCAACCAGATGTCTCTCAGCCAGGGAGCTCCTGCTGGAGGTGGGGTGGTTGGTACATTCCCTCTGCCAGTATATCATCAGAATTGGGGACAGCAGGGATCCTGGCAGCCATGGCCCCTGTACTTAGGCATCCCACATCGAATTGTAATAGACCGGATATGACATGGTGGGTTTTTTTTTTTTTTTATCTCTTTTGTCTTATTCCCTTATTTCTGGGTTTCAGTCATGCTTCCATTTATATATTCTCATAAAACGTTTTCCCCTCAGCTTTACTGAGGTGTAACTGACAAAATTGTAAGATCTTTAAAGTGTACAAACATTATGATTTGATACACATGTACGGAGGAACAGAATTTCTCCCCTCAGGTTAAGACATTGGGTTTTTATCATATGCAGCCACAATGGTGAGACCCTGTACCCACTGAGCATGTTACATTTTTTATTTAACATTTAAATTTTTTATTGCATGTTAAAAAAAAAACCCCACCTACATACCTACACAGCCTAAACTCAGTGTTCAGAACAAGATTCATTTTCTTGTTTCACTTTTGGCTCCTTCCTTATGATATTTGGTTCTGTCTCTAAATCATTTGTATCATTGAACTTCTGTCTCCCTTTGCTTTGGAACTGGTGGAATTCTGAAATGTGACCACATTCATTTGTTTTCACATCCACCAGATATTTGGTGTGGGCTTATGTGTGCCTGGCTCTGTACTTGGCATTGTGGAGGGTACCTGGAGGAATCAGGAATTTACTGTCTGTGGGAGGAAGTAGGAAAGACAGGATTATCCATGACTTTGACACTAGGTGGGAAGAAGTGGGTGCCAGGACAGGCTGGTGGCTACAGCGTTAGAGTTTCAGAAGAGAGAGGGGACAGCTTTCGCATGTGGGAACTATATAGATAGCTTGCATTTTAGAGGTCGTTGGATCTTACAGGACGGTTACAACTTGCCATGGGAGGTTTAGGCATAGAGAGGCATTCTGGGGAGAAGGACTTATATGGACAAAGGGGTGGATACCTGGGGCTTAACTGGGCCTGATTGGGCATAGGGTGAATCAAGGTGAATAATGAGGAATTAAGAGGGGAAGGAGAATAAGGATCAGGCTTGGAGAGTGGCCCCTGTGTGCAGGGTCAGCATCTGTCTTGATGGCAGACATGAACCAGCACTCAGAACAGCTCGGTGTAGACAGCCCACCCATATGTTTGAATGATGTGTGTGTTTCTTATTGACAAATTTTATGGTACTTTCTGGGCGACAGATTTTTTATGCACATAGTTCTCTTCTGTTCACATCTCTTAGGTTTAAAATAGCTTTGACGTGCCACTTTTCTCTCTGTGCTAGAAATGAAAATGAAGCTGTGTATTATGGCTTATAGGTTCTGAAGTCTACTCTGTGTCTGTATGAAACTCAAGCTTACAGGTTGTGGCCTGAAAGCCCAAGATATCCAGCGTGGCTGTCTCCACAGCATTCTGAGATGTCTGTACAGCTCAAATTTATCTAAAATTGCCTTTCTAGAGAAATGTGGAGAGTGGCTTGTTTCAGAATCTTAGTGAGCATTGCTTCAGATAACCTAGTTAACCCATGGCCTCCTCTTGTCATTTCTTGCAGATGGTCACAAGAACAAAGAAAATATTTGTAGGCGGATTATCTGCGAACACAGTGGTGGAAGATGTAAAGCAATACTTTGAGCAGTTTGGCAAGGTAAGTGGTGTGTGGGGCTGGCTGCTGCCATGGCCCTCCCTCCATCACAGCTGTGCCCTCAAGAACCTTGTCCTTGAACTTGGTTGTCAAGACTTAAGTGAAATCTGTCAGGAGCTGACATGGAAGAGTCCAGCTTGTGGTCGGCACGGTGCCCCACGTGCCTGCAGGAATAGACAGAGTGGCCTTTCAATGTGGTTTTGCTGGCCACGTGGGGCCTGGACTGGGAGCCGGTGGTGGTAGCAGCTGGGAGGGATGCAAGATTGTGACTCACAGGACAGAAGCTCCCACAGAAGCTGCTAGAGGCCTGTGAGTTGGTTCTGGGCTTCATTCTATGCCTTTCTGGAAGATACATTAAAAGAGGAGGCTCCCTGGGGTCCTTTACAGCTGAACCTTCCCCTGTCAGATGCCCGAGGAGACTTGGGAAAGATGCTGGGCCTGTACCTGTCAGAATGTATGTGAGACAGAAGTAAAATTATCCCTTGGGCTCTGTTGCTAGAATAGGCTGGGAACAATGTAGCGCACCGCCCCCCCATCAGGCAGGAACCAGAGTGTGAGAGTGTGTAGGTCACAGACAGAGTCACAGAGATGGACAGATAGGGTGTGTAACCTTGGGCGATGTGAATTAAAATTCAGCCTCTCTCTAGTTGGTGGGGGGAGCTGGTGCCTTGGAAAGTGGCGTTTCTCTGATGGCTGCGTTGTCCCGGGGCTCCAACATGGCAGCTTGTTGGGGAGACTGTCCCTGCTGGCTTTGTGTGATACCCCTCCTCTGGCTGTCATGTCCCAGGAGGCTTCCAGGCGAATGGCTGTGCTGGCCCTCTGCTTCCCGCATCTTTGAGTAGTTGTGGATGTTGTCCTGGGAGTCTGGGTGTGTGATGGTCTCCTCTGCACAGGTCTGCGTCTCTGCTGTTGCAGGGCTGATAAGGCAGAGGGGTGGAAGGCACTGTGCCTGTTCTAAGCTTTGTCACTCATGTTCCCCCATGACAGCTGTTGTGCTTGCGCTGGGTGGTACAAGGCACTGCTGCCCACTGACTGGTCTGAAGGTTCTGTGCTTTTACTTGTTTGCTCGAGGTAATGGGCAGCTCTGACCTCGTCCCCGGGTGTGTCTAGTTGTGAGTTACTGTCTGGGATGAGGACAGTGATCACTATTCAGCTTCAAAACGGAGATTTTCCTGTCTCTGGTAATAATCAATTTCTGCATGGCTGGGAGACATACAACAAAGAGACATCAGCCTCCTCCAGCCCAGCTTTGCATGCAGAATGGCACTTAACTGCCCTTCCGGGTTGGTTATGAAAGACGCCTTCCCCATGGCACCATCTTACATTGCCAGTTGGGGGCTGATTCATTCCGGCCGGTTTGGAAGAATGGTTGAGTGCCTTGGTGACCATGTACTTCTCTTCAAGACGTATTTAAAGCACCAGCGGGGGATTTGTCTACCACCCAGCCCCACCCTGCCTATGGGGAGAGACTGGAAGTAATTAAATGAGACAGGTCCAGCTTGTGTAATGGAAGGCTCTGGAGTGTGCACCCCTTTGCTACAGTTCTGCCTCTAAAACTAGGCCAGGAGTAGTGTTTGCAAACATGAGGTAGGATTTATTTCTTTAACCATAAATTGGAATCTCGTGGTCCTATTCATGATTGTCAGGGAAGTTGGACTGTTACGAGTATTCTAGACAGGCCTGTACCTGCTTCACCTCTGCACATTCACACCTTCAGGCTCCTCTCTCTCCCTCTCCTCTCCCTCTCCTCTCCCTCTCCTCTCCCTCTCCTCTCCCTCCCTCTCCCTCTCCCTCTCCCTCCTCTCCCTCTCCCCCTCTCTCCCTCTCCCCCTCTCTCCCTCTCCTCCTCTCCCCTCTCTCTTTGCCTTGTTCTCCTTTTCTCTCTTTCTGTCTTTTTGCATTAACACTTATAGTCGGGACTCAGTATGCCAGCAGTGGGAAGCTCTGCAAGCTTTGGGCAGGCCCATGGTAGCAACCATCCCTGCCCTGAGAACAGTTCTCCTCTTGTCAGGGAGGCATTCACAGAGCATCTTCCCTGGCCTGGTCTGTGCTGGGTCTAAAGCTGCTCAGTTAATTTAGCAGTAACATTTGTATATTCCAGCAGGATGTATAAACTTATCAGGTGTTTTATTAAAGGACTAAGACTTTTGAATATATCAAAACCATAACACTTTCTGTGCTCTTGTTTTTGTAGGTTGTTTCATACACGTGCTCTTTGTATTATCTGGGTCTGTCTTCAGAGGGGCTTATCTCTCCTCTTGCTGGTGCCTGGTATCATGTTTGTGCCTCCTTGAACAGGGCCCACCACTTCTCTGGATTCTGGTGTCATTCATTTGAGTCCAGAGTGATCAAAACAGAGGAGACCATGATGCTGTGCCTTAAGGCAGTGAGTCAATCCAATGGTGAATTGACATACTGACTCTACCCTTCAGTAGTTTATATTCTGGTTGAGGAAAACAGAACACACACACACGTAATTGTGTCAAATAGACTCACATGCTTGAACACATTCCCAGCTGTAAAGTTGTTTGGGGCTCCTTTTAGATTGGTAACTGCAAATTAGCAAGGTGTAATTTTATTAGTGAGTATATACTGTGTTGGGTCCTGGGCCAGGCCATTGACTTATATTATTTCATTTAATTCTTCTCTGGGAGGCTGGTGGGGGTCCTGTCCTGCTCAGTTTGTAGTTTGTTAAATAGAGTCTAGCTGGACTGAGTCTTTGATTTAGGGTCACCCCCGAAAGGTATAGCTGGGTGCAGATTTCCCCCCTCGAGGCTTGTCTGATAACAGAACCTAAACTCTGGGCCCTCTTCCAACCTTGGATTGATCTATAGGATGGGCTTAGGGTGGGAAGAGTATAAAAGAAAGGAAGAGACTGTGTCCCTCCATGGGCTGGGGACAGTGCTGAGAACTGGACATATGTTGCCTCATTTCATCTGTACAGTGCATTTTGGTGTCATTCAGCCCCCTGACAAAGGTCAACAATAAGGGTGAGGGAGATAAAGCCTCAAAGAAGGTCACACCAGTAAGGCAGGATAGCAGCCAGAATTTACATCCTGCTTCCTCTTGCTCCATATCCAGAACGTTCCATCCTTCTAAGCCTCCATTCAGGGTTTGCCACCTGAGTTCTAGGTTTCCCTTGCTGTCATTCCTCTCTCCTCTCCCTCTTCCCATCATGCCTGAGGTGGCAGCTGCTTCAACTGTTTATTTCAGGTGGCAATCAAGATGGGTAAGACTGCTATCATGGGGCTGGGCTTAGGGAGTTTAAATATGTCATTACTGTAAGTGGGGTGGGTGCAGAATGACACACCGAGAGCTTTAAATAACTCAAATTAGAGGTTTGTAAACCCCTTTGTACTTTCCTGCCACCTTCCTCCCAGAAACTTACCCCTACCCCCTTGGTTAGAGATATCATTACTTGTTTATATTTAAGATGAGATTGTGAAGTGTGGCCCTTGGCATGAGAATTCTGCTACCTTGGATGACCATCCTCGCCCCCTGGGTAGCTGTTCTGATGCTGTCATTAGAGGAAGGTTAGGTAGGTAGAAGTATTCCAGACCCTCATGATGGGCCTGACTGGGCAGTGACCCCCCTATGATACCTTAACAGGCCATTTCTTTCCTGGTCTCAGTTTCTCCTCTAAGGGAAGGAGATGGAAAAGTTGTAAAGGGTCAAATAGTAAATGTTCTTGGCTTTGCAGAGCACGTGGTCTCTGTCACAACTATTTACTTTGCTTTTGTATGGAGGAAGCAGCTATTGCCCATCCATGGTTAGATACGGTTGTGTTCCAATAAAACTTTATTTATAAATACAGATTATGGGCCACATTTGTCTTGTGGGCCATAATTTGCCAACCCCTAAACTAGGTTATTCGTAAGGTTGGTTTCAAGCTTGAAAATTCAGTAATCTAGAAAGTGTGTTTAAACATACAGGGGCACCTGAGTTGGTTGGATATCTGCCTTCAGCTCAGGTCACGATCCCAGAGTCCTGAGATCGCCCCATATTGGGCTCGCTGCTCAGTGGGGAGACTGCTTTTCCCTCTCCTTCTGCCCCTCCCCCTTCTAGTGCATGGTTGCTTGCTGTCTCTCTGTCTCTCAAATAAATAAATAAAACCTCCAAAAAACATAAACATACATAGGTCGGTATATGGATAAATATGTATCTATCTAAGGTATCCATAGGCTATAACCAGAACGAGATATTACCAATAGCCATGAGCATGATATAATAAGTGGAACAATCATAACTGTGGTAGGGTTAATTTCTGGATTGCAAGATGTAGGAACAGTGAAGGGATTCTCTATTTGGAAAAAGCTATTTATAAACCAGAATCTTCATCCTGTGAGTAAGATCCCAGGGATCCATAGAGTATTTCCAACTCCTTATTACATGTACTAGATCTAAATTAATGAAGACTCCGAATTTGTGAAGTTCAGGTTTTACTATGAAGATTCTTTTGCTATGAGTTGATGTTTCTGACTTTGAGGGATGTGTGCTTTGTGCTAAGCTTTTTGATGCATTTTAAAACCTGATTCTCAAGGCTGTCAAGCAAGATAGGTGGGGTATCTATCATGTAGATGACCAAACTGATGTTGAGGAAGGTCATGAGCTGTCCGAGATCACACAGCCCGTGCTGGGGAGAGCCCAGATAGTCATTCATTTTTGTACAATCTAACCTCTATTCGCTGTTTATAAAACCTCATCTCCTACTTTACCACTAAGCAGCCTGATACTCAGAGGGAGAAGATTCTGTTCATTTGTCAAGAATGTTGATGTGCAGTAATTTATTTCACTGCGTCAGGTTTCCCAGTGGACGTTATCTGTGCTCACGATTTCATAGTACAGGAATGATGTACACAGACCATTGCGAAAAGTGGCACGTGAATGATGCTCTCGATAGGCACGTACAGACCCAGACAATCGATCGGAGGGTTCTCCACCGTTCTCCCCGCATAGCCGTCCGGAAGAGCCCAGTCTGGTAATTAAAAAGCCCTGGGATCAAA